GTGCCAGAGATCATGCTATGTATTCTTCAACTCAACTTCTTGCACAACTGACAACAGAATTCATAGAATGCTCCCTGTAGTGTCTGGTTCCAGTAATACATATGAAAATAGTTTTTTTCTGGAATTTTCTTTTAATATTTTCAGACCGTAGATAAGCAAAACTGTGAACACTGAGCCAACAGATACTGGGGTCCTACTGTATTTATTTATTTAAAATATTTTACCCTGCCTTTCTCCTTTAAAAAAGGCCTATGTTGGCTCACATCATTAAAAGGCAGTATTTAAAGCTAAGAATGAGTATAAAGGGGCAGCTTACATCATTAGAAGACAAGGTTAAAGCTAAAAACTATAAGTATAAAAATATTAGAAAGGAACAAACAAATACCACTCTGAAAAATGGAAAACACAAATAGTATTAAAAACCCAGGCAAAGCAGTAATGCATAACAATCAATAGAAAAATTACATCAAGGTAGCCAGTCACTGAGGGAAGGCTTGCCTGAAGAGAAAGGCCTGCTTGCAGAAGGACAACAAAGATGGGGCCAGCCTGTGGGAGGGAGTTCAAAAGTGTGGAAGAATCAACAGGCTCTCTCCTGTGTTCCCATCTGAGAAATTGGCTGGACCGAAAGAAAGGCCTCTCCTGATGATCTTAACACCTGAGCCAGTTCATAATGGGAGATACAGGGTTTTAAAAAGCAGCATTTTGAATTGTGGTTTCAATTCAGTTTCAAATCCTGGGTGGATCCAGGCCATTTAGGGCTTTGCAGGTTAAAACCAGAACTTTGAATCATGCCCAGAAATGGATCAGCAGCCAGTGAAGCTGCTGTAACAGGGGGTTATGTGAGCCCTGTAACCATCCCCAGTCAGCAACCTGATTTCTGCATTTGGGTCCTGCTGCAGTTTCCTGGCACTTTCCAATTGCAGCCCCACGTAGAGCAAGTCACAGTAATCCAGCCAGGAAGTAACTAGGGTGTGTGTCACAGTGGGCAGATGAGATCACAAGGCCCATCTAGTTCAATATTGTCCATGAGAGTAGGAAACATTGCTCTGTCTTCGGTTTGCCTTTGCAATGATGCTGCACAGCCAGCTGAGATTTGGCTACCTTGTGGCACATAAAGCCAATTCAGAGCAAGGCTGCCGCTTCCTGCCTTCACTCTGTCGCCCTGTGAGGGGCAAGGAAAGAAAAAGCTACTTCAGTGAAGAAGTGGTATCAGTGCCCTTCCAAGCAGTACTAACACTGAGAAAAGATAATGGGTTTAGGATGCTCACATTTTAGGAAAGAGGTGATGGTGGGCTTACGATACCCAAACTATAGGTAGCTCGAGCTACTTTATTTATAATTCAAGCACAAACTTCAACTCAGCTACACGTTTTTTCCATCTTATTTTCATAGTAACCAGCCAAATCTTTCTCTGCCAGCTTTCAGCGCAAGCTAACTTTGGTGCTATTTTAGGCACCCAGAAGTAACTACGTAAATAATGACACACATAGGAGCAACAAACAATCTTTACTCTAATAATAAAAAGAGAGCTTTAAACAACTCAGTGAGCAACCTCCCCACCACACAGGCATGCACAGGCACACACACAAATCCTGACTCAGTATAACCTTGTGATAATGGCACTTCTTAGCCTTGACAACAGGTAACAGGAGATATTTGTATTTTTAGATTTCTGTAATATGCAGGTGCAGCTCCTCCAAGGATGTACAAATTTCTCCAGACAAAAAGAACAACTCAATATATCAGATTAAAGCTACAAAAATAAATTGCCTTCTGGGTGTTTTTTCTTTTCTTTTCAAACACTGCCTACTTCACTGGTTGTAACCCCTTAACACCTTCTCTTGCTTATGGCCTCTCTTTTCCGCTGCATGTAAGGAACTCAGGAGGAGCTGGTGCCTTGGTAACTGTAATTAGATGGAAGCAGCAAGTTTACAGGCCCTTTTACCTGTGGGATGGCAATCGGGTGCTATCAATGCAAAATCTACAATACTGATTCAATCAAACAAGAGATTATGTTTTCTCTCTCCACCCACCCACTAAGTGATGCCAAAATTTGCCCTTTTGTGCAGAGACAAGAAACTTACCAAGAATTACTTATTTCGGCAGATAAAGAAAGTTGTCTTTGGTTTTAAAGCAACACTTCTCGTTCTGTAAAAAGCAAAAGATAATATGGCATCACTGAAATAATCCCCATTAGGTGAGGTCACCTTTATGAAGCAATATGGGATTACATACAAACAGGATTCATTGAAAGATCAAAATCTTGTTGCTTAGCTTAGTAAATTATACTAGAGCAGGTCCACTGAATCAATGGTGATATCTATCCCCTAGTTCACTAGGCTAAGTAACAGGATTTGAGCCAATGGTTGCCTTCAATCATAGCAGAGCAATTTCTGAGGGATAGGGGACACACTGCCATCCCCCCCAATAACCAAACACCATGCTTCTAGTGTATATGTATGCACTCACCCACAAAACTCTGTACCCACACAAATCTGTGACTGCATAAACATAGATTACCATGAGGCTACATTGGCTGACAATAAGGGGAGTCATAAATTAAATACATCTGGACAACACAAGTGTTAGGGAAGGCTCTTGTTAGCTTTGACATCAGAAAACTAACTCGTTCTGGGTCCTGTCAGATTTTTTTTTCTAAAGTAGCTGAATAAGGAAAGAGTGTTGGGTACATGCAAACCTCTGCTCTTGTAAAGAAAGCACCTAATGGCCCTGAAAAGAACATTATTGTGTTGAAGTCAAGTATTAAAGAACCTGTAAAGAACACTGCCTTTCATATGAAGTCCAGGAAAATCTCTGACTAGGCTTGTCAAGTTAAATTAGATTTCCAACATTCTAATCTCCTGCAATCACAAAAGGCACAAATGCTACTGCCACATTCATGCTCTTTTCAGAACAAAACGTGTTCTATTTCTAAAAGCTTTGTTCTGATGGGTTCTTCAGAAAAGTGACTTTGAAGATTTGATAAGAGAGCTCCCTTCAGAACAGACAGAGGTGTACAGCAGAAGTGGAAAACATGATTATAAACTTGCTGACCTCCAAAGTGCAGAAGTATTAAGTTACACCTATCGGCCAATGGCTGAAATCCTGTTGCACTGCTCTGCAAAATACATACCTTTTGAAGGCGAATTGGCTCAAGTTAAGAACTCTTCATAGACATTATATGTTGCAGGCTGAGTTGTATAATTCAGTATGCAACAGATAATGTCTACTCAGACATCTTAATTTAAGGCAATTTGCTTCCACAAATTACTATGCCTTTTGCATTGCAGCACAACAGGATTTCAGCCACAGGCACAAAAGTGTGACTTATGACTTCTGTACATTGGAGGTGAATATGGTATGAGTGATGTTTTATAGAAGTGATGGCCATAAATTCTTTGCTAGTTCATGCAATATACAGGGAAGCAGAGGAAAGGATGACGTGGATCAAAACCTGTCAAGAAAATATCATCAAGCCAGTATGGTATAGTGCAGAGCTCCTTAAAGTGTGTGCTCTAGCACTCTGTGGGTCTTGCAGTACCCTGTGGCTCCCTGGTGTGCCACCAAGCTAGCCAGGAGCAACACAGAAGCTTCTCTGTTTGTTTGGTTTTGTTTTTTCACTGAGCTGGTGGTAGTGATGCTGCTCTTCTGGCCCCAGTTCCGGCTCCTTTGAGCTCCTTTGCTCCGCCCCACACCCCTTGCCGCTCCTCCTGCTTGCCTCCCCTCAAAAAAGTTTGGGAACCACTGGTATAGTGATTAGGGTGCTAGTTTAGGAAGCCGGGTACCTGGGTTTGAATCCCCACTTGGTCAGAAAGCTCATTTGGTATCTGTAGGGCTGTTACACACTCTGAGCATGACATGCCTCACAGGATGCTGTGAGGAGGACAAGGAAGATAGCCGTAAAGACTCTCTTGAGCTCAATGGAGAAAAAGCAGCATGCATCCAAGAGGTAATATGACTAATAACAACCTGCAAAACTATCCTCCATGAATTTATCAAATCTTTAATGACATAGCAGTCACAGGCCATCACTGTATCATGCGGAAGGAATTTTAAGGTGCAAATGACACATTCTGTGAAGAATAAAGGAATCTGTTCATCTCAAACCTACCACTAAACTGCATTTAGTAAGTAAAATGGATTATGATTTTGTCTGGCTAGTTCATTGATAAACATTTTCTAAAACTTGAAGCTGTCTTCCAAAATTCAAACATAAGGACCTGTTTTTAAAGTTTCAAGGGTGTCGCTGTGTTAGTCTGTCGTACCAAAACCAACAATGGGGTGTGTGCTGAGAAGTTTAATTTAGCACAAACCTTCAGCAAGTCCACTTCCATCTGACAGTAGTCCACAAAAGCTCAAGCCAATTTTATTTTTAGTTTCTGTGGTGCCATGGCACTCTTCGCTGTTTCTGAGATTTTTTTTTTTTCAAAAATCCAATATTGGAGAAAGCTGAACTGATAGATCCATCCACTCAGCAGGGAACTCTGAATATTAAATCTGGGTTGGAACTCCCTGTGCAAATTTATAGTTCAGGTTGCGACCTCTTCCCTCCCCACTCCTTGATAAACTCATCTTTAACGGCAACATGGTAGGCAGGTAGAACATTGTCCTTTTCACATTTTGTATAATTATGCATATTTAATTTACTCAGTGTAAATGATTAAGAATTTCATTTGTTCCTTTTTTTTCATAAGAATGTATTTTTTTTAAAACCCTCAAATTTCTTCAAAGAATTTCAAACTTGAAATTTAAAACAATTCCTATGCGGGAAATAGAAGAAGTGACACATCTATCCTTATGCTAGACTCTGAGATCCAGGATTGCAAAAGAAAGGGGAAATGTGTCTACAGTCCCTTTCTCTAGAAAACACAGGAAACCTATAGAGCATAGTTATTTATGTCATTATTTTCCCCCTGAACTAGGAAACACGTCAGCCTTTCTTTGTAAGGAGTATGCACCAACCTCTAATTTTCATTATCCGTTCCTGAACTTTTCCTTAACTTTGTGATAACCTTTTGGATTCTTCCAACCTGAGCTGTCCCACAGAGTTATAGAAAGCAAGGATGAGGAATATGTGTTCATCCAGATCTTGTTGGACTGTAAGTCTCATCGATCTTATCGAAAAACATAGGTGGTGCTGGGTGGTAAAAAGAGGACCCCACATGTTCCAAATCTTTGATAGGAGGCCTTGGCAAAACTATTTTTAGGAAGTTCCTAGAAAGAGAAAACCTCATAATACCCTGTTCCCTTCATACTGCTAAAACTCTCTCTCTTTTTTTTCAGTTGCAACAATTCACTCATGACTTTTAATTTCCCTGTACAGAAACATTAAAGCTATCAAATGACTAGGAATAACAACCGAAAAAGGCAAAAACAAAGCCAAGTAGATATTCCTGACATAACTCCAAAGGTCTGTATTTTAAATGATTGCAAAAGAAAACAAAAAAGGGAGTAGAGAAACATGTCAGTTTCTTGCTGCCAACATCAACACGACAATCTGTCTCCAATTCCCATTGTATGAAGCATAAGCACTACAGATTCCACAGGATGCTGTAACACACAGTTACTAAGGGAACAAATCTGGAATTTCAAACTACAAGCCAGTCCCATGGGGCACCAGGTGCCTCCAGACAAAATGGAGGCATCACTCTCTGTTCACTTCTCTTCTTTCAGTGAGAAACTGTACAACAGGATCATCAAATCACTACTTTGCCTTGTTTTCTCTAAGCTTATTGCTCAAATGTCTCAAAGAGATGTGACTTCCAACATGTACATTCATGAGGCAGGTGAATCCATCAATAATTGTACACAATTATTCCCTAATCTTTGCTCTCGTACATCTGTCCAGAACAGATCCTCATGGGGGAAGGTAGCTGTGTTAGTTTGCTTGAGCAAAAACAAAAACAAAGTTTCATGGTCAAAGTGTCTCACTGGAGAACATCAGCCCGCCTCAACTGTTCCACTCAGGACAATCTCCTATGGGTAGCCACCCTGAGGGAGTTGAAGAAGGTCTCCATGAGGAGCCAAGCCTTCTCATTCATGGCCCCACATCTTTGGAACAGATCTCTCTGTTGAGATCTGTCAAGCCCCTTCCTTCCTGGGCTGCAAGAAGCAGTTAAAAACCTCTCTCTTTGAGGAAGCCTTTAGGGAGATTCTGCCCCGGAATAATTGTGAGCATGTTACCAGCCATCAATGTGTGTGCTTTTCTTTTCTACTTTTTCCTTTCGTCTGTTAGGGGATGTTTTATGGGATTTGCTTGTGGGAGGAGATGTACTGGGGTCAGTACATTATTGTCAATTGCCAATTGAACTTCTTTGCACTAATTGGCCTGTATGCAAATAACATCATACATACATACATACATACATACATACATACATACATACATACATACATACATACATACATACATACATACATACATACAATCCCACACAGAAACTCAAAAATGCACAAGCCAAAAGGTTGGGTACCCAAAACCTACCCTAGAAGAATGTGCCTCTCCATTTCTCTTTATCTTTTGTGAAATTCTGATAATAGAAATATGGTTTCTTACTTATGCGGACCATCCAGGATTTCAACCAGCAGTCTTGCAAAAGTGGGTTTCTCACAGAAATAACAGCATATAAAGTTTTGAGGATAGACTTTCAGCAAAGACCAATATGAATGACAATATTAATCATTATCTTCCAAATATTAGATTGTTCTACCTTCTGGTGGGGGGAATGGGAAACCCTAAATCTTCTCTATTACCCATAGAGTTACATAGTAATGGGATTCTGCAAGACATTAGAAAGAAACCAAGGCTGCTGTCTTCAATAAACAGCATCCTGAAGATAAGGAGTCAAACTGATATAACTGCTCTACAATTTGTTCTGAGATGATAGTCTTGAAGAATTCCCCCTGCTTTTTCCCTATCTCCAGTTTCTCGCTTCAATTGTTATACATCTTCAGAAGCCATGACTTTGCTGGTTGTCAGAATAAGTGATTAGAATTGCTACAGAGATTTAAAACAGATTCGGATTTCATTTCACTGCTCTCTGATAGTAAAAAAAAAAGCATTACACTTTATTAAACAGGGCTGCTAAAGGGTGCTAAAATCCATTTCTGAATTCAAGAACAGATCAGGCTGCCAGATGCCCACACCA